TTGAATGTGTTCCACTTTTAGTCCACCGTTAATATTTTCATCAAGAGGCCGTATAATCAAAGGGTATTTTGGTCTTTTTATGTTTGTCTCTTCTCTTTTAATCCAGGCGCTTCGTCCTCCTCCTCCGATATTCGAAGATGGCTCTTCGAACAACGAGAATGGGAAGCCAAAGCTACATCGTTTCGTTCGTTCTAACATGGGCCGTCGAGGTTTCTTAGGTTTTAGGTTTAATGTTCTCATTTCTTTAGTCAAACATAGTCTTGGATGAGAAGAAAGGTCAAAATACCCCTAGATTACACGGCCTCTTGATGGAAATACTAACGGTGGGACTAAAAGTGGAACACATTCAATAATAGTGGTTATAAAGTGGCAAAAAAAATTAAGGTAAACTAAAATTGGAAACGCCCCTATAACAGTAGAACCAAAAATGGAATTCACTCAAAAGAAAAAGAAAAAAAGAAAAAGAAAAAGATAATACCCCTAAATTTAACACTCATCATTTAACAGAAAACTTAACGGAAGACTATTTGTGGTAAAAAATGAAAGTTAAGGTACATGTTTTGGTCAAATTGAAAGTTGAAGACTAAAAGGAGTACTAGCACAATAATCATATCAGAGGATCATTTGTTGTATTAACTCTTATAAAATTAACACAACTACTCCATTTTTACTTATTCTTTTAGTAACTTTCAATCATTGATATACCTAAATGAATAGATTAGATAGCCATCATTTGATGTGGAAGTATGTTCACAAACACACATATATGTGTGCGTTCGTGTGCGTGTAAAAACTTAAATCTTTATATCTTATAACAATTATACATTAACCTTTAAAACTTATCCTATAATAATAAAGATTTAAGTTGATTTTATTCAAAGTTGAACAAGTCAAGTAAAAGCATCTTGATCTTAATTTCCAGGAATGGAATGGACTTCTATGCACCATCTTCTTCACCTTGTTAACTTCCTCATAATTTCCACCAGCTGCCAACCATCAGCTTTAATTCTTCACCTACATAATTTCCAGCTTTAATTCCTCATAATTTCCTGATATCACCTCCATCAATTAATTAATTAAAGCTAAGGTGTTGGCCCTCTTTCCCTTAATTTAATTACAAAAATAATTTTTTAAAAACTTAAGGTGTCCTAACTACAACTCAATCGAAGACCAAGTCACAAATGATAATGACATAAAAGCAACGATTCAAGTCACTCAACTAGAGACTAAGTCACAAAAAATAATATATGATAGAGACAACCTCAGTCAAGCTAAGTTAGTCAAGTTGTTGATTTTGGTATCTACAAGATTACAAGTTCGATTTTCAATCTTATTGGTTTGAGCTGGCCAGCTACAAGCAACTCAAATTAATTTACCTCCTTGTAGTCCTTTTAGCCTACTAATGGGTTAGGAATTAGGATGCATGTAAAATGTTAGCTTACCGCAATTTCTATTTATCAATACTAAATTTATGCCGGACTAGCTATTACAAAACATCTGGTGAAGAAACTGTTGTGTTATTTAAATGGAAAGCCTCAATTCCATAAGTTACATGAATCATGAAAAAGTATAATAAAGCTATATACTTTTACATTCCAACCTGCAATTAAAAACAACTCTCTTACACCATGAGAAATGTGTGCTTGAATATAGCTAGCACACTGAAAAATAATTCAACTAACGTAACTTCTGCAAGTTTTGATACCTAAAATGGTAAAATTTGAGCTATATGAAACCTGATTCAGTTTCCAATGTTTCCATGACCGTGGCGAGATGGGGATTAGATGCTTAGGGAAAAAGGGCACCAGAGAACAAGGAGTCCAAGTTGACTGTTTATGATTAACTTTTCTCTTCGGACATAATAGTAGATTAGTAAATTATAGTGACTCAATCATTTATTAGATGGTAAGAGTAGTGTCGGATGTCTAGAAGGTGTCCACTGATTATAAGTTCACACTGCAACTATCAGGACTTGATCATGTGTCCTTGCACACAATCTACTACCCAAAAACTAATTGAGTTACTTGCACATTTTGATTTTTCTATTTGCACCACTATTTAATTAAAAGTTGAACGCTTTTTCTTTATGATAAGTATTAGACCACATTTATTGACACTAAGAAAATACATATTTAAATATAATTATTGACAAAATTCATACCAAATCTTCCTTAATTTTCATGACAAGGCTGCTACAATCTTGAGGCCAGCTTGTGGAAATTAAGGGGAAGAGGTAGGGCCATCATCTTTAATTTTAAGCTTGACCAAATGTAAGCAAATAATGGACCATCCATAGAAGTAATGGAAAGATATATCCCATCACAAATAAAAATCTAAACTAATAATTGAATTACTTATTTATACGTATATATTATATACTCAGCCCATTTTCTTTATTCATTGAATATGCCATATTAATCATTATTTATCTGGAGTATGTTCCTATATGAACCCTCTCCTATACAGAGGGAGGTACAAATGAGAACATAATCTTCGTATAAAAAGTGAGGGCTAATCACACCGGTCCATCACTATCAGGGTTTAATGATTCATCAATAATTCAAGATTTTAATATAAAAAAAAACACGGGATTAACTTTATTATTATTATTATTGTTGTTGTTGTTGTTATTGTTACAATCAAAAAAAATTTGCAATATTATAATTTTTCAATATGAGATCGTGAAATCAAATTATATTCGTTCAATCATTTGTTTGGAAGGTAAAGATTTTTTAATAATTTTTTTTGTCGCATTTTTTTAAATTTCAGGGGTATTTAAGTAATTTGATTGTCATGTGCATCATTGTGCTTTGGTAATCCTGAGATCTTCTCAATTTTGGCGGTAAATCTTCTTTTTCTTGGGTTTATAGTTTATTTCCTCTGATTTCTTCTCTTTCTTTTTCTTACTGTGATTTTCTTTTTCTCTCTTAACCAAAGCTTGGGTTTTGTTCACTCGGTGGAGGCGATGCACATACACTAGCTCACCTTCATTCTGTAATTGGTGTGTGCACAAATATGTTACTACAGATGCACACAGTGCATTCAGCATGCATTGCGTGTACATTCCTTGGTGGAGATGATGCACATACAGTCGTTCGCCGTCATTCTGTAGTTGGTGTGTGCACACATAGCTAGGGATAATACAAATGCACACAGTGCATTCAGCCCATGCTGTATGTGCATTCCTTTGGAGGAGAGGATGCACAAACACTCGTTCTCCTTCATTCTGTAGTCGATGTGTGCAGACGTATTGGAGTCAATATGCACACACCATTTCCAGCCCGAACTCACCCGCTATTGCAGAAGGTGGTGTACGTTTACGAATAGACGGGTGCAATCGTGCACGCCCATCCCATTGTTTACAACAGTCTTGGTTGCATTCGTACCATGATTAAAATTCCTACAAACATGAAAAAAATATTCAATCAATTTTATTAGGATTACAAATCTTATCTTAATTACTATATCACCCATGCGAATTAATTCCATCTTAAATAAATAGGCAAAATAAGGTTAATCATGACCATTAATATTTTTTGGATGGATGCTCTAGATTTGATCTCACCTTCTCATGTGGGATGGTAATATAACAGGAACCCACCCATATATATATATAGAGAGAGGGGGGGGGGGGGGGGGAAGAGTTCAGCTGCGGGAGGGGGCTTCCCGTGCGGTTGTATGGTTGGACGCACAGTAAATATTAATTGACGCACTTTAAGTACACAACACATGCACATACATTAAGCACACAAACAAAACACATTCAGAACACAAACTCACGCACCGTAAGCACAAAACTCACGCACTTAAGCACAACACTCACTCACTTAAGTTTTCAACAACAACTCACATTAAGCACAAACCTCACGCAGTTGAAGTACAAAACTCACGCACGTTAAAATCGTACAACCGCACGAGAAACACTTAAATGCACTGCAACTTTTATATATATATATATATATATATATATATATATATATATATATATATATATATATATGATATAATTAATTATCAAATCAAGCGCTTACCATTATATCAAATAGTGAAGATGCACCTTCGTTTCTTTATATTTATATAATATTATTATATTTCAATAATGGAATATTAGACTTGGCCTTAGCTTCCAACATTAATACTTTTGAAAAGAAAATCCTTCGATGTCCACTTAAATAGTGATGGGCAACGAATTGAAGGGTGGACTGACTGATAAGTGCGACGACTAAAGAAAAATCAACATGCAACGACAAGAGTACTGAGTACATAATATTATGTATTCAGCTGTATAGTACGAAACCTGTATTGTTCAAGAGATTTATTGACAGCACTGCACATAATTGGTGTTCGGACAAATATATAGTTAAAGTTGGCAAAGAAAAATACCATTTTTACTCTTGAGGATATATAACAGTTCATTTTCGTCAAGCCATTGTGGGAAGAAAATATTTGGTGCACTCCCATTTTAAACTCCTAACTTGTACTCCCTCTCACATGCTTTTGATGTAGACATTTTCTGTGGACCCACATGATGAAAATAATCAATCCTGATTTGTCACCTCATGAAGTATAAATGATGGAGTAGAATTTTGGGAGTCTATGTAGTAGAACTCTTGTGTGAATAGGTAAATTATACCATGGGTCTTATATTGTGGACCTGATAAAAAATACGGAGTAACATTATATTCATATTATGTGTTTATAGGTATTTGTAGTTAACAGCTTATGTACATACAAATAAATTGAAGATGAATAATATGTTAATTGCAGGTAAGTACATAATTTATTAATTACAATAAATAATATGTTAACTGTATATACATAATATATTAATTTAGTAGACACATAATTTATTTATTAATTTGAGACACATAATCTGAATGTTGTTTTGGCAAGATTGACCTGGTCCATATATGGTATTACAATTGGAAAGGTATCCTCTCAAAATGAATAAGTGAGATTGAAGAAAAGTAAACATGGATCCGGACTCTTTGCTCTCTCGCTTATAAATATTCATTGGATACGTTCTAAGACGTACACAATAAAAGAAAACAAACACACACACAAGATGTCTGCTGGAAAAGAAATAGCAGCGGCTATGGTGATGATGAGTCTGAGCTTCAAAGTGATGCTCACATTGGCATCGGTGTATTATTTTCCTTCGGAATATTGGGGAGACGATATATTTTATGAAAGCGAGACGGCCAAGAGGTACAAGGAAGAAGGGATATCTATGGTTCCAAAGGGTTGTCCAGATAAGTGCGGCGAGGTTAGTATCTACTATCCCTTCGGAATTGGACCTGACAAAAGTTGCTATTTGAACGAATGGTTCCACATAAATTGCACCAAATCCTCCAATGGTGCTGAGAGAGCTTTCTTGATGAGCTCCTTTTCTGGTGACAGGGAGGGCGTACGGCGAGAGATTCTTTACATTTCCATTTTCTCAGAAATAATTGTAATCAAAGAGCCAATCTCTACTTCCGCCTGTCAAACCACCGGCTCCGGTAACGGAAGCAATAATGCCTCCATAAATAATGGAAACACAAAACTATCCCAAACCCCATTCTTTTACTCTGCCAGATACAACACGTTCTTGATTTTTGGTTGTGGTGGCGCTTCCCTCAGCAAGCCTGGTGAAGAGTTCAAACAACTCGGTTGCACTTTGAATTGCAGCAGAAAAACCACCCTACTAAAAACTGTAGGTGATTGCAAAGGCATAAACTGTTGCCAGCTCCCCATTGATGAAGATGTACAAACATACCATGTCAACTTCACAAGAACAGAATCATCAGCCGTCAAGGAGGCCGCCTGCAACTATGCCTTCTTTTTTGGTGGTTCTACTTTACCATACAGCCTTCAAAGGTTTCCAAGCAGGCAGCAGGAAGAGGTGGTTGTCCCGGTCGTTTGGAGGTGGAACATCACAAAACACGACTTGCTCTACTTGGCTCCTTCCTTCATAGACGACCACTGCGGTACAAATTATGATGGTTATTATATGTGTGATTGCCGATATCCAGAAGGAGGGAACGCTTACTTACCACACGGATGCAAAAGTACGCCACTCTACTCTTATATATTATACATCCGTCACTACTGGAAATTCTGAAATTTCCGACCACCTGAAAGTGATTTTAAATCATGTCAAAAGCCTTGTTCGGACCACTTTTGGTAACCGGAAAAACCCTTGTTGCTATTTCCGACCACTTTTGCTTTCAACTTAATTTAAGATCACTTTCAGGTGGTCGGAAATTCAATAATTTCCAGTAGTGCATCTACATTCTATAAACTAAAACTATATTTTATAAAGTTGTGCATTTTTTGTCTTCCGACCATGTCCTTAATTAGAAGGCTTGTAGAGTTCTAGGCCGGTATACGTACTTTTGGTAATGACCACATTGGGGTGTTTAGAAAATTGTTTATATGAGTCAAAATTTGTCTTTTTGGACCAACTTTAGATGTATGTTTGACTTAGTCTAACAGTACAGTATAGTTAAAATGAATAATGTTTGGTAAACTATATTTTGGTTTGGTTGATTGATTCATGTCAATAAGCTGAAAATGAAAAAACTATTTTAAGTAACTTATTGATATCAATTTATTACATTTTCTTCTTAAAAATCTAATTTACCCTTAGTACTTGGTGATTATTCTAATGTTTATATTTATTCAATTTTTATTCAAACTTACACCTTGATATCATCAAACCCCCCAATAATTGACTCTTACCGAGTGTTTAGTTGGAGGGAGGGAATTAGGAGGGAAAAAAATTGCAATTCCATGAGAAAAGAATAATGTAGGAATAAAATGAGAAAATTCCTGTGTTTGGTTTGCAAGAATAGAATTACTAGAAATTTCAATTTCAATTGGTATACATGAAAATTGAAAGGGAAGAAGTAGGCAAGGCCGGTTTTTAGATTATATTTTTGTGGTCCCGTTCTGATAAATAAATGAGGTCTACCAAAATCACAATCTTATCAATACAATAATTTTTTCTAATAATAATAATATAGTTGTGCGCAAAGAAAAAAAACGACACATTATGGAATAAATTACAATTATAACAATAATGAGAAATCTAATGCTAGTTGCAAGTTTCAAACCATAGCTTTGACCTCCAAATTGAAATTGATACACAATAAACCATGGTTGCAGTAGGTGCTAGGCGCTAGTCGGGCGCCCGGACAGCGCCTAGCGCCTAGGCGGAATCTAGACGGGCGCCAAATAATCAGTGGTAGACTTGCAGCAGTTTGACAATTTTAATGAGGTTGTTTTCAACATTTAATCAAATAACACATCCAAATAAATGAATTAATGATAATTCACAAGTCATAACATCTAAACAATGGTTTTCAAAAAAAAAAAACATTAAAACAATATTAAATTAATACTCAAATATGAAATACTCAAACACTTCAATCATCCAAAGATTCAAAGTATCAAACTAGTCTACGAGTGTATATATGTCATATTATATATATGTATTCGTGCGCGCACAGACACACACACACACACATATATAATAATAATAATAATAATAATAATAATAATAATAATAATAATAATAATAATAATAATAATAATAATAATAATAATAATAATAATAATAATAATAAAATAGGCCAAGCCGATCGGGTTAACTCGACCGAAATGGACGAGTTAACTCGACTAACTTAGACGCTAGGCGGCCAAATCGGCAGAGTTAGGCGCTAGGCGGCCGGTAACCTAGGCGGGCGCTTAGGGGGGAAATCGCCACGGTCTAGAGGCGCCTAGCCGCCTAGACCGATTTTTACAACCCTGCAATAAACGCATGTTTCTACCATTTCTACATGAAGCCTTTTAAGTATAATTGAAAACTTTTTATTCTTTATTTCTAAACTAGCTAGGTAAAAATTAAATATTGGGGCCTTTAAAATTTTGGGGTCCTCTAAAATTTGGGGGCCCTATGCAATAGCCCAGCTTGCACAGCCTAAAATCCGGCCTTGGAAGTAGGAGTATAAATATAATGAGCCAAGCCGCTCGGTCAAAGCTTGACTCGAGCTCAAGCCGAACTCAAGTAGGCCCGTTTCGTAATTGAACCGTGGAGCTCGAACTAAAATGTTTTAGGCTCGTTGTTCGCCGAGCCGCTCGCGAGCTGTATACATACATACAGGGCCGTTCCAATAAAAATAGAGGTCATGTGCGACATATGAATTTGGGTCCCTTTTCACAAGAATATCTATTAATTGAGAATCAAGGGCATATCAATTTCTTGGATCAAATATGTCAAATAAAAATGAATCATTTGGTTTATAATTGTGACCACCATTATCTAAACAACTATTAACATTCTTATCATTTTCATCGTCACAGTGATATTTATCATTGTTCTGCACACTGTTATTTAAGTTTTTTCTAGTCTCACAATCACCTTGATTTTTATTTTTTTTTTATGAAGATTAACATTTAACAAATTTTCATTGACATCATCCTTTTGCCCATCTATTTGATATTCTTTTGTAATGAATTTTTCAAGGGCTCCCTTTTGAGATTGAGTTAGTTGCTCAATTCTTCTTTTTCTTTTTACGTTTCTCAAACCCAAATGAATATTTTATAGAAAACATAATTACAAAATCCTAATAAGAAAAGAAATTTGTTTATAATCTCTATCAATAAATGATTTATCAAGAAACAAATTCTTGAATATATTATTCATTATTTAAAATTATTAAGTCAATAAGCCATGTTAATAAATAATAATTGTGAAGTAAATCAAATAATATGTACAATTAAATTAATAAGGTTTAATTCATAATTACCATATGTTTGATGAAGAACTTGAGGGAATTGACTCAATGAGGTTAATGATTAACTATTGATTATAATCTATTGACTTAGAGATTAGGGAATAGAAAAAGGGATTAGGAAAAATAGAGATTAGGATTTAAATTATCAGAATAATAGAAGATTGTATTGATGCTTTATTCTTGCGTGAGAATGTGATTACTGTAATACTGCTCAAGCCTCATAATCTTATATGTATATGTATATAATTTTTTTTTTTTTACAATATATATATATATATATATATATATATATATATATATATATATATATATATATATAGAATTACATTCATGTAAAAACAGGACTTAAAATACAAACGTGTGGACATTTCTGGATCGTTGGATTTTGGGTATCTAAGGTTGTGATTAATTTTTATGATTTTGTGTGCCCCTGTGTGCATTGTCGTTCATGGACGTGTGCACGCCGGCCCAAATATTGTGGATTCACACCTGCATACTATATTGGATGTGTGCATTGTCGTTCACGGATGTTTGCACACCCGCATTTAGGTGTGTGCACGGTATATGTCCACATGTTTGTATTTTAAGGGTGTTTGCATGTGAATGCAACCCCCTCTCTCTCTCTCTCTATCTATATATATATATATATATATATATATATATATATATATATATATTCGAGCGGCTCCGTCAACTTCAAGCTCGAGCCCAACTCTAACGTAACCAATGAAAATAAATTTAAAAAATAATGTCATATCACTTTTAAAGGTACACTACTTTAATTTATATAATGATTTTAGTATATTAACATAACATATTCATTTTTACATACATGTTAGCTAATATTTTATTCTTGTTATACAGAAATATATGGCCCGAAGATTAGCCTTAAGAAACTATCTGCTATTATCGGTGAGCTGTTGATTATCGTCATTCTGTCAATATATTTTGCTTCCTTTCTTTTTATTTTTCATAGTTTTGGATGGGTCACACTATATGGAGATTCATTCACTATAAAATGGTGGATTTTGTAATAAATAATCTTGTGGAGTTTCTGCTCATTTAGCTTCCATTAAATTCCAGGTGTTAGTGCAAGTTTTGGATTTGTGTTGTTAATATGGACTTGTGTCGTCCTCTATAAAGCCATCAAGAAGAGAAAGATGAAGAAATTGAGGCAGAAGTTCTTCAAGCGTAATGGAGGTCTCCTATTACAGCAACAACTCTTAGCAAAAGAAGGGACAGTAGAGAAGACAAAGATTTTTACAGCAAGTGAGTTGGATAAAGCCACAGATCACTTCAATGTGGATAGAATAGTAGGCCGAGGTGGGCAAGGCACAGTGTACAAAGGAATGTTAATTGATGGGCAAATCGTTGCAGTTAAGAAATCTCAAGCAGTGGACGAGGACCAACTGGAGCCATTTATCAATGAGGTTGTCATTCTTTCCCAAATCAATCATAGAAATGTTGTGAAACTCATGGGGTGTTGTTTGGAGACAGAAGTTCCCATTTTAGTTTATGAATTTATACCAAATGGAACACTTTTCGGCCTTATCCATAACAATTTTGAGGATGAACTCATTCCTCTTTCATGGAATATTCGTCTCAGAATTGCATCGGAGGTGGCTTGTGCATTAGCTTATCTCCACTCCGCAACATCAGTTCCCATCTACCACAGAGACATCAAGTCGGGTAACATTCTTCTGGACGAGAAATTTCGAGCTAAAGTTTCAGATTTTGGAACCTCAAGGTCTATTTCAATTGACAAAACTCACTTGACTACCATGGTGAAGGGGACATTTGGGTATTTAGACCCTGAGTATTTTCAATCTAGCCAGTTCACAGAAAAAAGTGACGTTTACAGTTTCGGAGTTGTCCTTGCTGAGCTCTTGACGGGACAAAAGCCAATTTCATTTGACCTTGATGATGATGAGAATAGAAGCTTGGTATCACGTTTTTTGTTGTGCATGGAAGAGAACCGTATCATGGAGATTCTTGATGTGGAAGTTATAGTGCAAGGTAAAAAGGAAGATATTGTGGCAATGGCTAGGCTTGCACAACGTTGTTTGAACTTCAACGGAAAGAAAAGGCCTACCATGAAAGAAGTGGCCACAGAGTTGGATGCCATTAAAGCATCTCATTCTCATCTCCCCTCGGCCATGGAAACATTGGAGATTGAATCAGATTTCATAGCTTAATAATTTTACTGTGTTAATTTGTTGCGTCTACTTTTCTTCAGATACCAGAAGTTGAATTATTCTCCACTTTTATATTCAAGTACACCCATCTAATAGACATATAGTAGGAGTCATTTTTATGTGTAGTTTAAGCATATCCTTATATGTAAAATAAAAGTAAAAAAATCTATCAGTTATATATATATATATATATATATATATATATATATATATATATATATATATATATATATATATATATATATATATATATATATATATATATATATATATATATATATATATATATATATATATATATATATATATATATATATATATATATATATATATATATATATATATATCATATGTTACTAGAAGATGTATTTTTAAGTTTTCATAATTCATGTATTGAGTATCTTCACTTGCTAACCTTGCTTACCCCTAGTCAGGTCACAGTGCAAAAGTAGTTTAATTTTGTGTAATTACTCGAATAGTCTAAAAATATTATCAACACGTAATTTTTTTTTTTCTTTTGTTAATTGTGGAGGTGATGATGTCGTCAGAAAGGCATTGATATTGGCTCTGTTTGGCAGAGCTTATTTAGGAGCTTATAGCTTATTTTAAGTTACTAATAAGCTATAAGCTCTGTTTGGTAATGTTCCTAAAATAAGCTCCTAGCTTAAAATAAGAGCTTATTTTGGAACGCTACTTTAGGTAGCGTTTCAAAATAAACTCCTAGCTTCCTAACTTTTTTTCCATCTTTATCCTTATTATTTTTAAAAACTGACATAATTTACCCTTATCAATTAAAACATTTTTCTCTTCTCATTTAATTTATCCGCAACTTTCACCGCAAATATTATTATTATTATTATTATTATTATTATTATTATTATTATTATTATTATTATTATGAGATTTGCAACAATGTTACTACTTCATTATGAGATACTAGATCATGATTATGCTAATAGTTTTATTTTAAAACGTTAATTTTTTTTAAAGACAAAATGTTAAATTTTAATATGTAAACAAACTAATTTAAATTTTATGAAGATGCCCTTTTTAGTCTTTTTACATTTATCAGCTTGTCAAAAAGCTAATTTTACCAAACACTTTCAATCATAACAGCTAGCTTAACAGCTCTTCAGTTTTCAGCTCCGAGCTTATAGCTTTTTAGTTTTCAGCTCCTTTGCAGCTTTCAGCTCCTAGCTTATAGCTTTTCAGCTAGGTTTGCCAAACAGAGCCATTGTCTTGATCATTAGTGTGTACGGGTGAATAGAAAAATCAAAATGCTCCAAGAAAAAAGTAGTAAACAAGAAAGAAATGGAAGCACGTACGTCAGCCGGTGGAAATTAAGGGGAAAATAACAAAGAAAGTTTAAGTTGACTTGTCAAAGATGGTATACTTAGCTTATAACTAAAAGTAAGAGTAAATACCAACGGAAGTCCTCTAACTTTGATGGTACTGCCACTTTTAGTCTTTAACTTTTAAATCAATCATTCTTAGTCCTCTTACTTTTTATTTCTAGCCATCTATGGTCCTTCCGTTAAACTTAATTAGCTTGATCATCTAATGCCGTTTTCTCAAGGATAATTCAGTCCTTTCATAATTAATTTATTAATTATTATGTTTGCTGAGTCATACCGATATACCCCGACGTCGTTTTGGCACAACCTTCGTACCAACTTTTGTACGCCATTTTGATTCACGAGCTGGTTTTGTACACGTTCATAGCTGGGGAAACCATTGTTTGACTATTCTGATGAGAAAATTAAGCATAATAATTAATAAATTAATTATGAAAGGACTGAATTATCTTTTAGAAAATGGCATTAGATGGTCAAGTTTAACGAAAGGACCATAGATGTCTAGAAACAAAAAGTAAGAAGACTAAAAGTGGTTAATATAAAAGTTAAGGACTAAAAGTGGCAGTGCCACCAAAGTCGGAGGACCTCCACCGATATTTACTCCTAAAAGTAATTTGGTTTTGGGACAATTCTATCCAATTAAAGTTGTTCTGGTTATTATCTTGATAAATGATAATTTGACTCTCAATGGGAGTTGTCTATTAACTTTTTAAATTTAAATTGATCACTTATGGACAATTTGATTTACCTCATTGAGTTCACCACCTTAAGGGAGTGACTGCTTAAAAAAAAAAAAAAAAACTGGCTTTGTTTTCTGTGAGAATGAGAAACGGAATGGTGTTGGGTTGTAAGAGAAAAGCATGCATTCATTTGGTCTTGATCATTAGTGATGCGAATAGAATGAAAATGAAAAGGCGTGGCAAAGAAGAAATGTACTATATTCCAAAATTGAAAACAGTGTAATTGGAGATAAGTCAACAAGGACTCCTCCTTGCTATCTCCATTATAAAGAATTCATTGGATATGTAATTGTTCTGAGATAAACTAACACAAGATAGAAAACCAAAAAAAAAAAAAAAAAAAATGTCTGCTGGTAAAGAAATAGCAGTGGCGGCTATGGTGATGATGAGTGTGATGAGCTTCACCTTGGCTTTGGATTACGATATGTCTTCTGAAGCCTTTCGGTATAAACTCGAAGGGATATCTATGGTTCCAAAGGGTTGTCCAGATATGTGCGGCAACGTTACCATTTACTACCCTTTCGGAATTGGTCCCAACAAAGATTGCTTTTTGAACAAATTGTTCATCATAAACTGCACCAAATCCTCCGATGGTGTCTGGAAGCCCTACTTGAGCTCCGGCAGGGACGGCGGCGTAAGAGAGATTCTGGGCATTTCCTTTGACAGACAAATAGTCGCCACCCAAGAATCAATCCCTCCTTCCCTTTGCCACCCGCCGGGCGGCCCGGGCCATCGGAGGGAAACCGTTCAATCTCCATAACTCAAACCACAAATTTCTCCAGAACCCAAGCATTCTCCTACGCTCCGGGTTACAACAAGTTCACGCTTTTAGGCTGCGGCGGCGCTCTCCTCACCTCGCCGGGCTACGGCACAGTAGGCGGATGCACGGCGTTGTGCGTCGCAAACACCGGACTTGAACGGCCTCTCAACGGCATAAACATGTGCGAACTTTTCTTGGACGGCCGTGTAGAAACGTTTGAATTCCATGTCAACTTCACAAACCCGGCGGTCGTCAATGCCTGCAACTATGCCTTCTTTGTTGATCAAAATTGGTACGCTACAAGCTTTCCCGGCGGCCGGCAGGAGCAGCTAGTTGTTCAGGTGGTGAGGAGCTGGACCGCCCCAGATTTGCATCCATCGGACCCCTCGCACTACTGCATCAATGGAAGTTCTTCCTGGGGATGTTTCTGCCAATATCCGAAAAAGGGGAACCCTTATATTGCAAATGGATGTCAAGGTACTCCACTAATCTATATATTCTCTAATAAATATGTATATATACTCACTCTCAAAATTATGTTCATTATGTAGTTAACAAATTATGCCATATAATTTTTAGACTAGAGTCCATAAGGTAATGTGAGCCCTGATTTATGGTATAACAATTCAATCATTATGGTACCGTGTCCACCTTGCAAGGTGGACACGGTTCTATGTTCAAAATTATAAAGTTATATATTCATAATTTTTGAACTTCATATTTACAATTACAAAATTCTATGTTAATAATTATGAACAATTTTGGAACCATGTCCACAATGGTCTACCCTAGAACATCTACGCCCAAAGAATCTAAGCCCTCGGTTCAAACCTACAACCATCCATTTAATAATTAGCTTGTTAGCTATTACTGGTCGCTTTAACAATACTAATCAAGGTTGAACTACATGATAGTTAGCTATTCGCTTTAACAATACTAATAATCAACCAATACTAATCAAGGTAGTTTTTTTTTTTTTTTTTTTTTTTTTTTGATAGTAAAAACCAATGGAATTAATCAAAACAATGCTGCAACACAAGGTGGTGGGATAGCCTCCCACACGGCGAGACCAGAGTATGAACCTGTCGCTCGAGCTAACACATGAGCCACTCGGTTCGCTGACCTCCTGACGTGGCGAACCCGCACATTCCCAATGTCAGTTGCAATGTCTCTACATTGCTTAACTACCAGACCAACATAAGACAAGTCTGAACTACTTGAATTAAAACTAACGCATAAATTCAAACAATCAATCTCAACAAAATAAGCATGGACGGGACGATTCTTCAACCAAGATAGAGCCTCCTTAAACGCTAGGGCCTCCGCAAGATAAGCATCTAACACACCCGGCAACCTCCCGGCACATGCCGCAATGAAACCACCATTGTGATCCCTTAACACCACCCCAAACGTGGCGAATTGATCATGCAATGCAGCATCTATATTACATTTTAAAGTACCCTCAGGTGGCGCCACCCATGCATGGGACGTAAACTGCTGTGGAACTGCATTAGAACCTGCCAAACCTTCCCAAGCACTTGCCTCACTCACTACATACTCACGCACTTGAGACAAAGACCAGAATTTTCCATTCCACACTACATCATTCCTTACCCTCCACATAACCCAGAACCTACAAGCCATGAGCACTACATGCGCCTCATCCTGGTGGTTTAACGCCATGTCCACAAACTGTACCAAGCTGCTGCCATTCAAAATATCAGCCACACCCCAGAGTTGAAGCGCCATAGGGCACTCACACAAAATATGAGCAATGGTCTCTTCATTAGCAGGACACAACGGACATCCACCTCCAATGAACACCCTCTTCTCTTTCAGTACCCCCTTCACAGGCAGGATCCCCCTTATACATCGCCACAAAAACATCCTAACCTTCGGTGACACCTTCAACCGCCACAACTTACGCCAAGACACATTACTCGGCTCCTGTTGTGCAGCATTGTGTTGGACTAGGAGCCTATACCCATGTTTCACTGTATATTGCCCACGAAGATCATTCCTCCAGTACCACACATCACTGTGCCCCGGAGCAATCGGCGTACCAATCACCCTATTAACATCAGAAGGCAACAACAAATCCCTCAAAAGGTCCTGGTCCCATGCACCATCAATAGTCATAAGGCTCGACACCGTGGCATGTCTCAACTCGTCATAGCATTCCGTGTCCAGCCCCGGGTTCTCTACATCCGCCAACCAGCTATCTCCCCAAACCAAAGTGCCCCTACCATCTCCAATCCTTCGACCTACGCCATCTCTCAACAGTTGTTGTGCCGCCACAATGCTTCTCCATAAATAGCTGGGATTATTACCCAAAGGTGCCGAAAGAAAGCTCACACTGGGAAAGTATTTTGCCTTTAAAATCCTGCAAACAAGAGAGTTAGGAGTGGTGAGAATACGCCAACCCTGCTTAGCCAACAACGCCACATTAAACTCATGCATCCTCTTGAAACCCATCCCCCCAAATGTTTTGGCTTTGCCAATCGAGCCCAGCTTAACCAATGAATTCCCCTCCTATCCGACTCCCCATTCCCCCACCAAAACCTGTTCATAATACTCTCAATGGCATTACATGTGGCTCTAGGCAACAGAAAGACAGACATAGCAAAGATCGGCATTGATGATGCTACACTCTTCAACAAAACCTCCTTCCCCGCTTTAGACAAAAGCTTTTTTTGCCACGCAGATACTCTATCCCTCACCCGCTGCTCAATATAACGGAAAACTGACCTCTTATCACGCCCCAGGAAAGAAGGCAACCCCAAATAATTTCCAAAATGCTGGACTGATTGGACACCGAAAATACTGGCTACATAGTCCCTCATCTGAGTAGATGTATTTTGACTAAACAAGATGCTGAACTTACCAAAATTGATAGCTGTTGAGATTAATAAGAACAAGAAAAATAATAATGGCAGAAAGTAAAGAAGACAGGATTTACGTGGTTCGGCAATGTGCCTACATCCACGGGAGTGAAAGTATTCTCTTATTATTTGTGATGGTGTTCAGGTGATGAGATACATTGATTATATTTATAGGCATATACTCTCCCTTTCACTCCTATTCCTTATATGAGACAAACTCATATTCCTAATCCTGAGACAAACTCATATTCCTAATCCTTATATGAGACAAACACAACAAATCTCCACCTTGGCGAATATGCTCTCTAGGAGAAAAAAGATAACTCAACAAATCTCCACCTTGGCAAACATGCCCTTTAGGAGAAAATACTTATCTAACCATCTCCACCTTCGCAAATAAGCCCTTTAGGAGAAAAAACTCATCTCATAGTCTCCCTGGATTAGGACCACCATGTTCATTTAACATTTGGAAACACCCAACAAGTCCAAACAATGTTTGAACTTGTCACTAGTAACTGCCTTGGTCAACATGTCTGCTGCATTCTCACTTGTATGAATTTTCTGCAACAAAATCTCACCAGAAACAACCAACTCTCTGACCTTATGAAACCTTACATCAATATGTTTGGTTCTGGCATGGTACACTTGATTTTTAGCTAAGAAGATGGCACTTTGACTGTCACAGTGTAATTGAACTCCATCTTGCTCAATACCCAACTCCTTAATCAAACCTGAAAGCCACAAAGCCTCTTTAGCTGCCTCAGTCACGGCCATGTATTCTGCTTCAGTTGTAGACAAAGCTACAATAGACTGAACTGATGATCTCCAGCAAATAGGACCACCCCCAAGAGTAAAAACATACCCTGTTGTAGAACGTCTATTATCCATGTCACCAGCATAATCAGAATCCACATATCCCATGAGTACATGATCATTCCGTTGACTCCCAAAAACAATACCATGCCCCATAGTGCCTCTTAAGTACCGGAGAATCCATTTAACTGCTTCCCAATGCTGCTTCCCAGGTTTAGACATGTACTTACTAACTTGGCTAACAGCATGAGCCAAATCAGGTCGAGTACAAACCATTGCATACATTAAACAGCCAACTGCACTAGCATAAGGAACCTTTGCCATATTTTCAATCTCATTAACTGTTTGAGGACACTGACTGGATGAGAGTTTAAAATGATTAGCCAAAGGGGTACTAACCGGTTTAGACTTACTCATCCCAAACCTGTCAAGAATTTTCTCTATATAACTCTGTTGAGTTAGCCACAACTTTCTTGCACTTCTATCCCTGTGAATTTCCATGCCAAGAATTTTCTGTGCAACTCCTAAGTCTTTCATATCAAATTCCTGACCCAATAAAACTTTCAATGCAGTAATATCATTCATACTCTTAGCAGCAATCAACATATCATCCACATACAGTAACAGAAAAATAAAAGAACCATCACCAAGGCTTTTCACATAGACACAACAATCATACTCACAACGTGTATAGCCAATTTGAATCATGTAAGCATCGAACCGCTTGTACCACTGCCGTGGAGCCTGTTTCAGCCCATACAAAGACCTCTTGAGTCGACAAACCAGATGCTCACCTCCGGGTTTAACAAACCCTTCAGGTTGCTTCATGTAAATTTTCTCATCTAGATCACCATGTAAAAAAGCAGTTTTCACATCCATTTGTTCCAAATGCAAATCCCAAATGGCTACCAAAGCAAGTACTAATCTGATAGAAGTATGTCTAACAACAGGAGAGAAAACCTCATCATAATCTATCCCCTTCTGTTGAGAAAACCCCTTCGCAACTAACCTAGCCTTAAACTTTTCCCCTTCTTTTTCTGATACTGGTGGCTTTTTCCTATAGACCCACTTGCACCCTATAGCCTTCTTTCCTTGAGGAAGTTGAGCTAACTCCCAAGTATGATTCTGATGTAAAGACTCCATCTCCTCAATCATACCTGCCATCCATTTATCTTTCTCCTGGCTAGAAATAGCCTCTTGAAAGGTAACTGGATCATTATTAGAAACAAGAAGTGCAAAAGAAACCATATCCTCAAACCCATACCTACTAGGTGGTTTGACATTGGTGCGTCTCGATCTATCTCTAGCCAAACTGTAATCTTGTAAATTTTCTGAACTCGAACCTGCTGCAGATGTAGAATCTGCAACTTCTTGAGTCTCAATCGTAGGTGGATTAACTACTTTCTCACTCAAAGGTACACGATCCATATCCACTTCTACTGTGCTAGAACCATCAACTAGTGCATCTTCTTTCTTTGGCTGGAACATGAAATTCTCATCAAACACCGCATCTCTGCTAATCACCACCTTTTGGGTTGCAGGATCCCAAAACTTATATCCTTTTACACCTTTCTTGTAACCCAAAAAGATGCACTTCTTCGACTTGGGATCTAACTTTGATCTCTCATCACCTGGAATAAGAACATAACTTGGACAACCAAAAACTCGTAAGTGATCAAAACTTACAGGATTACCTAACCAAACCTCCTCAGGAACCTTGCCACCAAGTGATGTCCGTGGTGATCTATTGATCAAGTAACATGCCATGTTCACTGCTTCTGCCCAAAAACACTTAGAGAGCCCAGCATTCAATCTGAGACACCTTGCTCTCTCAGCAATGGTTCTATTCAGTCGCTCAGCAACACCATTCTGTTGTGGTGTCTTACGCACTGTATAGTGCCTTTGAATTCCATGTTCTGCACAGAATTTCTGAAATTCTTTCTCAGTATATTCTGTCCCGTTGTCAGACCTCAAGTACTTGATTTTTCTTCCAGTCTGGTTCTCAACCTCAGCTTTCCACAACTTAAATTTCTCAAACACTTCAGATTTATGTTTCAAGAAATACACCCAGACTTTCCTAGAAAAATCGTCAGTAAATGTAACATAATATCGGGAGCCACCCATTGAAGGTTCCCTGGTAGGTCCCCAAACATCAGAATGCACATAATCTAGAATCCCTTTAGTTTTATGCTGCCCAGTAGAAAAACTGACTCTAGTTTGTTTCCCAAGGACACAGAACTCACAGAAATCCAACTTACAACATTTAACTCCTTTTAACAGATTCCTTTTGTGCAAATCAGACAAACCACGTTCACCAAGGTGACCCAAACGTAAATGCCACAACCTAGTAGTATCATCACTAGACTCAACAGAATGTGCTCCACCTACAACAGTACTACCCAACAACCTATATATGTTCCCTGTGGTCCTTTTCCCTTTCATCACAGTTAAAACACCCTTACTAATTTTAATGGTTTCCTTATCACTCTCAGACTTATGAACAAAACCATTAGCATGCAAACTGCCAAGAGAAATCAGGTTCTTAGTTAACCCCGGTATATGTCTAACATCATGCAAAGTTCTGACAATACCATCATACATCTGGATGTTAACATCACCAATACCTATGATATTATGACATCTATCATCACCCAGAAAAACAGAACCGAAAGTACCTGACTTATAGGTTGTGAACCATTCCCTGTTAGGTGTAATATGATAAGAGCACCCTGAGTCTAGAATCCATGCATCTGACAACTTACTTGATGAAACTGCTAGAACATCACCTTCACTATAATCTGAGTCATCAGCATGCACCACGTTCGCCGCCTCTTGTTGTGTTTTCAACTTTGGACAATCTCTCTTAATGTGCCCAATCTCATTACACCCGTAGCACCGGATTTTCCTGCTATTTCTGGACTTAGACCTGGATTTTCTCCTTCCAGAATTACCCTTCTCTTGCTTCCTTCCACGATCCTGACCCTCTTTAGCATACAAACTTTCACCAACAGACGATCCATCTCCTACACCCCGCATGCGCTTATTATGAGCCTGCAGGGCCGCAGAGATCTCGCTGTATTTAACCGTGCTTTTCCCGTATGTTAAAGTAGTCACCAGATGTTCAAAGGAAAAAGGTAATGAACATAGCAAGATCATCGCCTTGTCTTCATCTTCAATCTTGACATCAAGCCTGGCCAGATCTGAGATTATCTGGTTGAAGACATTAATATGATGCACCAAGTCTGAACCCTCCTGCATCTTAAGCCCATAAAGCCTTTGCTTTAGATACAGTTTGTTCGTTAGAGATTTTTCCATAAACTGAGTTTCCAATTTATCCCAAATTTCTTTTGGGGCTTCCAGGGCCATAACGTGATACACAATTCCATCATCCAGGCATAACCGAATGGTTCCTGCCGCACGCTCCTTCAAATCCTCCCAATCATTCTCATCCAGATTAGCTGGCTTTTCCGCCTTCAAAGTTTTGAGAAGACCCTGTTGTGCCAACAAATCCTTTACCCTGGACTGCCATAACCCAAAATTCCCTGTACCATCAAATTTTGATACCTCGAATTTTGTACTTGAACTGGTCATCTCAACAGAGCTCTGATACCAATTTGTTGAGATTAATAAGAACAAGAAAAATAATAATGGCAGAAAGTAAAGAAGACAGGATTTACGTGGTTCGGCAATGTGCCTACATCCACGGGAGTGAAAGTATTCTCTTATTATTTGTGATGGTGTTCAGGTGATGAGATACATTGATTATATTTATAGGCATATACTCTCCCTTTCACTCCTATTCCTTATATGAGACAAACTCATATTCCTAATCCTGAGACAAACTCATATTCCTAATCCTTATATGAGACAAACACAACAATAGCCTAAACCGAAGCTTCGCAATAAGCTTGTAGGCAGTTCTTAACCTCCATGGCCTCCACCCCATTCGCTCTGAAAAAGAGCAGACTATCGTCCGCGAAGAATAGATGGGAGACTGATGGTGCCCCTCGTGCGACTCGCACCCCATGTATTGCTCCACTTGCCTCGACATGCTGCAAGATCAAAGACAATCCTTCAGCACAAACAATAAACAAGTATGGCGATATTGGATCACCTTGCCTAATACCCCTGGATGGAACCACCGAACCCGCATCCTCACCATTCAACAGGATATTATACCGAACTGAACTAATAATCAAGGTAGTTAGCTATTCGCTTTAACAATACTAATAATCAACCAATACTAATCAAGGTTGAACTACATGATAGTTAGCTATTACTGGTCGCTTTAACAATACTAATAATCAACGCCCCTTTTTTTTTAAAAAAAAAAATTAGTTAAATTCCTGCCTAAACGACAGTCTAGGCCGCCTAGTCAACGGCGACCTACTCGGCGCTTAGGCCACCTAGTCTGACCGCCTAAAATGGCGATTCCGTCGAATTTCTAGGCGGTCGTCTAGCGCCTAGGAGTCGATTAATCGGCGCCTAGACGCCCATTTTTGCAACCTTGCTAATGATATATAAAGGATCATGCTATGTGAATCAAAATTTATGATCACCATTTAATATAATAATATATGATTTGTATTTGATTATTAAATAGACGCTATAGGGAACCTTATAAAGGTTTTCTTATTATGCAGGCAGTCATCGTAAGCTCACTGTCAAGGAACTATCTGCTATTATCGGTAATAAGTTGAATTGTTAATTGTCATTATTATATCAGCCAATACAAAGCATATGAAGATTCTCCTAACTCCCATCATATCACTCAATCTCAGGTGTGAGTGCAAGTTTTGGATTTGTAGTGTTAGTATCGACTTGCTTTATCCTCTATAAAGTCATCAAGAAGAGAAAGATGAAGAAACTAAGGCAGAAGTTCTTCAAACGCAATGGAGGTCTCCTATTGGAACAACAACTACTCTTAGCCAAAGAAGGGAGTATAGAGAAAGCAAAGATTTTCACAGCGAGTGAGTTAGATAAGGCCACTGATAATTTCAATGCCAATAGAATAGTAGGTCGAGGAGGGCAAGGCACAGTGTACAAAGGAATGTTGATTGATGGCCAAATCGTTGCGGTCAAGAAATCACAGGCAGTGAATGAGAATCAGTTGGTGCCATTCATTAACGAAGTTGTCATTCTTTCCCAAATCAATCATAGGAATGTTGTGAAATTACTGGGGTGTTGTTTGGAGACAGAAGTTCCCATTTTGGTTTATGAATTTATACCAAATGGAACACTTTTCAGCCTTATCCACAACAATTTTGGAGACGACCTCATTCCTCTTTCATGGGATATTCGCCTCAGGATTGCATCAGAGGTGGCTAGTGCTTTAGCTTATCTCCACTCCGCCACATCAGTTCCCATTTACCACAGAGACATCAAGTCGAGTAACATTCTTCTGGACGAGAAATTTCGAGCCAAGATTTCTGACTTTGGAATGTCCAGGTCCATTTCAATTGATCAAACTCACTTGACCACTATAGTGAAGGGGACGTTTGGTTATTTGGATCCAGAGTATTTTCAGTCAAGTAAATTAACAGATAAAAGTGATGTTTATAGCTTTGGAGTTGTCCTCGTTGAGCTCCTAACCGGACAAAAGCCAATTATATTTGATATTAATGATGATGAGGAGCGGAGCTTAATAACACGTTTTCTATTGTGCATGGAGGAGAATAGTTTTTGGGAGATTCTTGACGTGGAAGTTTCAGGACAAGGGAAAGAGGAAGATGTAGTGGCGGTTGCTTGGCTCGCACAACGGTGCTTGAACTTAAACGGGAAGAAAAGGCCTAGTATAAAAGAAGTAGCAGCAAAGTTGGACGCCATTAGAGCATCTTCTCATCCTCATAATCTCCCATTGGCAATGGAAACATTGGAAGCCAAATCAGATTTCATGCCTTAAAATTTTACTATTTTTACTACATCCGGTTATCTTCAAGTGAACAAAAACTTGGTTAAGTTGAAGTATTTTCACTGTGTCATTACTAAAAAGAATTTATTATTGGTAAATGTCAATATTTATGGTCTACTTTTCATAAATAGAAGTCTTGTGTTCCCAGTCTATATTGAGAATTTGGAATTGGAAATGATATCTGCCGTCATTGACTCTCCAACGACTTTGGATATCCATATCCACTTTTTTTGTAAATAGAAGCTTCTATTCAATATAATGAAATTCTTTAATTTCCAAACGCGCTGACACTAACTCCACATGCATGCACTTTCTTTAATTAATGAACTATTAATTCTTTTGACTTTAATTTCCATTGTTCCCAAACTTCCACGCTATTTGTATGAACTATTAATTAATGACTTGATACCAAAATGGTCCTTGACTAGTAGGTTTTTCTCAATTTCATCCTAAACAATTTTGGTGACCTAATATAGTTTCAGATTTTTATTTTTTATTCAATTTAGTCCTGTGTTTGTTATTCCGTCAAATTGATGTTAAATAAATAGACAATTCAGTAATCTCAATATTGGCCTTTATTTAATCTCAGCCTTGTGAAGTGCGAAATTCCCCTTTCTTTTACGAATTACTCCCATAATTACTCTTAGACATGCGAATCAAATTTTATATTTGCAGGTTTGGGAGTAATTCGTAAAAGAAAGGGAAATTTCGCACTTTGCACATCTAAGAGTAAAGAGATTTCAAAATTGAAATTACTGAATTGTCCCTCTATTTAATACCAAATTAAAGGAATAACAAACATATGACTAAATTGAGCAAAAACACAAAAATCTTGGACCACATTAAGTCACCAAAGTCGTTTAGGACATACGAGTTTGAGAAAAAATCAATATAGTCGAAGACCATTCTGAGTATTAATTCTTATGACTTTAATTTCCACTAATTAATGAACTACGGAGTATTAATTATTCTGACTTTAATTTCCACTAAAGTAGTATAGTGGTGGGCTATGAACCAATATTTGTATAAACCAATACGATGAGTGATCTGACTTTAATTTCCACTAAAGTAGTATAGTGGTGGGCTATGAACCAATATTTGTATAAACCAATACGATGAGTGATTTGCTACTTATATGGATTGATATATTGTAATTCTTCATTATAACTTAACCCCATCCTACATGACTTTTTGGTGGCAACACTTTCTGAAAGTACTGAAACACAAAGAACCAATAACGCCTCCACAGAGGCTCGAACTCACAATCTTCCAAATAGAAGTTCAACCCAGATACTATTAGACCACATAGTCTTGGTAGTAGAAGAGTTATTTTAATTTAATGTGTTGTTTCACATAGCGCGCCCCTGGAATGTCAAAGTAGAGTCTTCTAATTTAATTTTCTTTTTCCATTTAAATAATACAAGATAATCCTCACCCGTTGTTGAGCAATGAGCATGCTGGGAATGTGTGTGAATGAAATTTGTTTATATTAAATCATGACAAATATAATGTGAATACCTTTATGAGAAAATATAAAGAATAAATTATTAGGTTATTCAAAATTTGAACTCTTTCCGCCATTATAGACTACTTTAAACCTATTTGTTAAATAATTATTGGGCCAGGGCTCAGCTCCCATTGTACAATAGAAAAAAAGTGAATCAGTGAAATTGGAGAAAAGTACACATGGCCGGACTCGTTATAAATATTCATTGGATACATTCTAAGATGTACACAAGAAAAGAAACACATACAAAAATAAAATAAAATAATAAAAAAAAATGATGTCTGGTAGAAAAGAAATAGCAGCAGTGGCTATGGTGATGATGAGCTTCAAAGTGATGCTAAGTTTGGCAGATGCATATGATATGATTGATGAGGCGAACGACTATAAGCAAGCTGGGATATCTATGGTTCCAAAAGACTGTCCAAGCAAGTGCGGCAACGTTAGCATCTATTACCCCTTCGGAATTGGACACAACAAAGATTGCTATATGAACAAATGGTTCCGCATAAATTGCACCAAATCCTCTGATGGTGTAGAGAAGCCGTATTTGAGCTCCTTCTCCGATGACAATAGCGTAAGAGAGATTCTGGGCATTTCCGCTTTGAGTCAGACAATAACACTCAAACAGTCCATCTCTCCTGTCTGCCAAACCACCACCCGGTCCACCAATAATATCACCATAATTCGTAACACCAAATTATCCCAAACCCCATTCTTTTACTCTTACGTTGACAACAAGTTCATGCTTTTAGGCTGTGGCAACGCTCTCCTCACATCGCCGGGCCAGGATATACTAGGCGGATGCACCTCGCAGTATAGCAAATCCACGGAACCTCAACATCGGTGCTACGGCATAAACTGTTGCGAATTCCAGGTTAACACAGACGACTACTATGGAGCACAAACATACCAAATCAACTTCACAAACTCGGCGGCTCTCAATGCCTGCAGCAGCAGCTATGCCTTCTTTGTTGATCAAGATTGGTTGGATGAAAGCTTTATTCCGGACAGCCGGCGGCGAGAAGAGGTAGTTGTTCCGGTGGTGTGGGTGTGGACCATCCCAGACTTGCCTCCATTCGCCTCCTCAGAGTACTGCCACCACTACATACAGTCTGATGTCGGCGATGTGTCGCCGGCTTACACGGGTTATTATTGTTCATGCCCATATCCTAAGATAGGGAACCCATTATTTGCAAATGGATGTCACGGTACGTAAGCCACTAATCTATACTATATACAGATATAGAGCAGAGTTCAGGTGTCAATAGTTATGCAAATATGCACAAACAATGTTAGAAAATAATGTTCAACACAAATATACATCATTAGGTACGTATAATCAAAATATGCACTATTAGGTATGCATAAAAGCACCACACAGTATTTAGAAATGTGAAATTAGGAGTGGGGAGTTATACTGCATTATTTTAGGTGTGTTGTGCGTTTTTTTGTATATTTATGTTGCTGTGCATTTTTCTAACACTATTGGTGCATTTTTCAAACGGCCGCATCAGACTTCTATATATAGATATATATATTCTCTAAATATGTCTACTCTGCTCTCTGTGATTAATTTTGAAGGTAAATTTGAGCAGTGATAAATCATTCTAAAATCTAGATACTGTTTATACTCATCAATATATATAATAATGACATGTCATTCATGTGGAATGAGTTTAATTAGCAAAAATTCTTGTTTAACCACAACTAATTTAAATAATCCTCCATCTCATGCAGGTGGTCATCGTAAGCTCACGGTCAAGGAACAATCTGCTATTATTGGTCAGTTAGTTGAATTTATGTACTTATAGTCCCAAATATATAATTATGCAGGACTGGTCTAATATTACACTTTCTTTCATAAGTATTATATTTTTCATCATAAATATTGCACTTTTTCTCATAAGTATCAATTAATTTATTTATTTATTTATTATTTGTATTACACTTTTTTTTTTCTTTTAAGTAATTTTTCAACTCATAAATATTATATTTTGATTTAAAAGTACTACATTATATTATTTTCTCGTCAAAAGTATTACATTTTCTATCATAAATATTATTTTACTATCTTGACCCAACTCATCTCAAAGGAGACTCGTCCTTCTTACTTATCAACTTATTGTAGTCTAATAAATATAAATTAAGCATTCATATGAAGTTTCATTCTACTCACCTACATCACTCAATCTCAGGTGTTAGTGCAAGTTTTGGAATTTTGTTGTTAGCATGGGGTTGTTTCATCCTCCGTAAAGCCATCAAGAAGAGAAAGATGAAGAAACAGAGGCAGAAGTTCTTCAAGCGTAATGGAGGTCTCCTTTTACAACAACAACTCTCAGCTAAAGATGGAACTATAGAGAAAGCCAAGATTTTCACGGCGAGTGAGTTAGATAAGGCCACTGATCATTTCAATGCCAATAGAATTGTAGGCCGAGGAGGGCATGGCACCGTGTACAAAGGAATGTTAATTGACGGGCAGATCGTTGCAGTTAAGAAATCACAAGCCGTGAATGAGAACCAGTTGGAGCCCTTTATCAACGAGGTTGTCATTCTTTCCCAAATAAATCATAGGAATGTTGTCAAACTACTGGGGTGTTGTTTAGAGACTGAGGTTCCCATTTTGGTTTATGAATTTATTCCAAATGGGACACTTTTGAGCCTTATCCATAACAAATTTGGCGACGAGCTCATTCCACTTTCATGGGATATTCGCCTCAGAATTGCATCAGAGGTGGCTAATGCTTTAGCTTATCTCCACTCCGCCTCATCAGTTCCTATATACCATAGAGACGTCAAGTCGAGTAACATCCTTCTAGATGAGAAATTTCGAGCTAAAGTTTCAGATTTTGGAACATCAAGGTCCATTTTAATTGACCAAACTCACTTGACTACCATAGTTAAGGGTACTTTTAGTTACTTAGATCCCGAATATTTTCGGTCCAGTCAATTCACAGATAAGAGTGATGTTTATAGTTTTGGAGTAGTTCTTGCTGAGCTCCTGACGGGACAAAAGCCAATTTCATTTGAAGTTAATGATGATGAGGATAGGAGCTTGGTAACACGCTTTCTATTGTGCATGGAGGAGAACACTCTTTGGAAAATTCTTGATGTGGAAGTTTCAAATCAAGGGAAAAAGGAAGAAGTCATGGCGGTTGCTTGGCTTGCACGTACAACGTTGTTTGAATTTTAATGGGAAAAAAAGGCCTACAATGAAAGAAGTGGTTGCAGAGTTAGACACCATTAAAGCTTCAAACCCTCACTTCCCCCCTGTCCTAGAAACATTGGAAACCGAGCCAAATTTCATAGCATAAAATTTTACTATTTTGCTACAGTCTTCAGGTGTATCCAACTAATCAAAAAATTGGCAGAAATTGAATTGTTTGTCACTCTCACATTCAAGCATACATGTCTCATAGTGTATTTTCAGCATAGCGTTGGGAATTTGGGATGTAAAGAACCAATCGTTATATCGTGGACCAACAGGGTCTAGAGTGCAGTGTGGACTCTGGTCCTATACGATATTGTTTTGAATTTTAATTTTGATACGATCGTTTGTTGTTCAGTTTATGTTATAAGATTTTTTTTTTCTAACCGTAAAGCATGTATACCTGTCTTGTGTTATGCGTTTCTGTGTCTCATGTTATGCAATTCTGTACTTTTTTTTTTAAAGTTGCATATTTGTACCTTAAGCTTATGGATTCTGTACCTCAAATAAAGTAAATATAGCATGTGTTTTTGTGTCTTCTGCAATGTGTTTTTGTATCTTGTGTTATGCATTTTTGCAGGACCGATTTTTAGATTTTCATGGCCCCGTTTTGGTAAATAAATAAGGCCCTACCAAAATCACAATCTTTAAAATCAATACCGTATTTTTTTTCTAATAATAAGGTGGTAAAATGTTACTGTGCACATAGAAAAAAAAAATAAAAAGCATATTATGGAATAAATAATAGTGTGCGCACAAAAGGAAGATGTTCAAAGTTAGAACAACACTCAAGTTTTGAACCTCTAACTTCCAAGTTAAAATCCAATAAGCATATGTTCCTACCATTCATACATAGAACCTTTTATTTTTAATTGGAAACTTTTAATTTTTATTTCCAAACTAGCTAGGTAAAAATTAAATATTGGACTCTGGGGGCCCTCTAAAATTTGGAGGCCCTGTGCGCTAGCCCAGCCTAAAATACGGTCCTGTATTTTTGTGTCTCTATGTTATGGAATTCTGTACGTAAACTAAAGTAAATATAAAACGTGTGTATGTGTCTTGTGTTATGCGTTTTTGTGTTTCAAGTTATGCAATTTTACTAAAAACCGGTTGAAAATATAGTTACTAAAAATCAGAGGTTACCTAAATTTTAAACCAATTAAACCGGTTGAAATTAAAAAAATAACAAAAGAAAATTATGAAAAGACAAAAATACCCTTACTAAAAATAGAAAAAGTCATAAGAATGATTAAAAATGTCCAAAATAATAATAATCTGCTATGTTAAATGGCAAAAGCGATAGTCTGGGACTAAATTTAAAATTGCTATCAAAGATAAAAGACTTCAGGTGGAATTAACTCAAGTCAATATTTATGGTCTACTACTTTTCATAAATAGAAGTCTTGTGTTCACAGTCTATATTGAGAATTTGGAATTGGAAATGATATCTGCCGTCATGTTATTCTCCAACAACTCTGGATATCCATATCCACTTTTTGTAAATAGAAGCTTCAATATGATGAAATTCTTTAATTTCCAAAATCGTCCAAACGCGCTGACACTCACTCCACATGCATGCACTTTCTTTAATTGTAATTTATAATGTATTTTTTGTATTTTAACCTTAGCTATTTAATAATTTGTTGTTGACATGTATTTCTAACGTAGTAACGTCATTTAATAATCTTTGCATCCACTCAGATAATTTTCTCGATTCGTCCCTGTATATATTGAATATGTTGATACTTATATGGGTTGATATATTGTAATTTTTCATCATAAGTTAACCCCAACATGACTTTTTGGTGCTCCGTCCATGGTTATTATATTCAACCACATCAGATCTGTCTCATAATGTATAGTTGGAGAGTCGTTTTAATTTAATGTGTTGTTTCAGCATAGTCGCCTGGAATGTCAAAGTAGAGTCCTAATTTAATTTACTTTTTCCATTTAAATAATACAAGATAATCTTCACCTGCTGTTGAGCAGTGAGCATGCTGGAAAAGTGTGTATGAATGAAATTTGTTTATATTAAATCATGATGATGAAAAATGTGAATACCTTTATGAAAATTAAAAATTAAATAAAGAATAAATTATTAGCAGGCATGATTATATTATTGAAAATTTGAGCTCTTTCCGCCATTATAGACTACTTGAAACTTATTTATTATTAAATAATTATTGGGTCAGGGATGCTCAGCTCCCATTGTATGTGTGAATAGAAAAAAGTGGCCCAAGAAGAAAGGTATCCTCTCAAAAGTCAAAATTGAATCAGTGAAATCGGAGAAAAGTAAACATGGCCGGACTCGTTGCTCACTACTCCCTTATAAATATTCATTGGATACATTCTAAGATGTATACAAGAAAAAAAAAAATGATGTCCGCTAGAAAA